ACAACCTGACTTTTTCGTCTTAGATGACTTAGTGTTAACTTCATTGAAAGATTGTCTACATAAACATAAAACACTCGGGTATTTAGTCTAGTTGTATGATTCATGGGTGCATGCTTCTTAGTATTTTATTAAAAGATCAGCATTGAGATTGATGTTCTGAAAATTGCAGCAAGTTCATCAGCCATTTATGTAACTAAGATTCAAAAATAGAATTTTCACACTTTGACACATGCTGACAATTTAATGCCATAGGGGAATCAAAATTTTTTGTCTATTAATTATCAAAAAGTAGGACCAGTTGTACAGTTCAGACCTGACCTCGCTTTATCAACTCTCGTACCAGACCTTACCTAATGCTTCACTTCAAGAGCTTTTTATTTTTTCCATTTTGGTAAACTAATGTCAAGTCAACTACAAAACTAAACCGACTTTCTTCTTACAACAAAATTTGCAGGTAAAGATTATTTCAGTTCATGTTAATTCACAACCAAATGGTCTAGATCTATAAGCGTACCACATTATGAATACTTTGCAGTAGTGCAGAGGTGCTTGCCTGTTCAGTTTTACCGAAAAGCAGATCTGAAACTCCAAGGTTCAACGTCTAACTCCCAAAAGATCCCTAAATATAAAATGTCGAACAGATAAGTTCGAGTATCTCAACTATCATAAGCCTCATTTTAGATATGCTTGCCATCCATTTTCAATATGACAAAGCAGGCAAAACCTAAAAGTGAAGTTAGTACATGGATTTGTCGTAAAATTGAACGATCATTATGTCTGATCTATAAAAAGATCATCTAGGGGTCAAGGAAGTTAACAGTAACAACTGAAATCATTAATCAGTGACATAGAGGTGTTGCACAAAAATAAGCCAAAAGCTCTCAAATTTCACATCAATATAAGGAAGCCATTTTCATTTCACTTTAGTGAAACAAAGAAGAATGAACATCATTGTACCATGTTGTTTTGCACCCAAAATTGCATAACATGAGCTGCACCATTCCATAAACAACTGATTTATAATACAGCATAAGAAAGAAGGTATCCAAAAGAGAAGTGGAAGTAAGAGAACCCAGAAAAAACCCCATGTTTAACTATCAACGGATACTTTAGTGAGCTATTTTCTTCAGCTGTGACTTAACTAGAACTATGAACTCAAACATACCACAGGCTTAATCTAGCTAATGCCAGAGACCTGGCCTCATGTCCAATGAGAGTTCTTAATCACCAGACAGATCTCATGGGATTCGGATTCCAGACATCTAGAGTTGAGTATGATAGCATAAGATTGTAAAATACAAGTGATAGTAAAAACCAAAGCTGATAGCATCTTTAGGCTGCCAGAGCAATGAGAACTAGAGGAACTGCAGAAGCATATTATTTTAAGCAACCCCTCTATATACCTCACATCCAAATAAGCAAAGTACTGAAGAAAATCTAAGCAAGCAAATGAAGATCATGTGGTGTAGTTAAATTAGGATTATTTGAACTCTATATTACAGATAAGCAGTGACATTTGTGATCAAATAACTCACAAGGGGAAAATACAACTGACTAGAACTCAAATAAGACAATGTCAGCGATGGGCATTTGGTCTAGTGGTATGATTCTCGCTGGTGCGAGGTCCCGGAAGTTCTGGAGCTCGGAATGCCCCTTCATTTTGCTAAACTTTTTATTTACTCTTAAGTTGATTTAACTCTCCAAATGCTCCTTCATCTCTAACTGATTCAACAATTGAGCATGTTCAGATATGGCTAACAGTAACTTTTAATAGCACACTATAACTTCGTATAAATTATTTTAACAATGGAGGATCCCCAAGAATGCTCATCCCTCCAAGAAAATTATCTCACAAATGATACAAGCTCCAAGACAACATGAACTCCTAACCATTATTTAGACTGAGGGACCAACAAAAGCTGGGCACGGTCTAGTGGTATGATTCTCGCTTTGGTGCGAGGTCCCAGTTCGATTCCTGAATGCCCCGTCTAATATAATTTTTTACCATTTTACTTGTAACTTAGCTCTATTTTCAATTGACATATCTAAATTAAGCAGGCCATAAATGGCTAACCTTTTCGATTGTTCAGATATCTAAGAAAATACACCTCATAGTTCCTGTTCTGCAGTCTCGGGTTATCATACAAAAGCTATAATTTACCCTCCACCTTGTTAACAATGGAAGCAGATAATTTCAACTAGAACACAACCTGACTTTTTCGTCTTAGATGACTTAGTGTTAACTTCATTGAAAGATTGTCTACAGCAAACATAAACACTGGGTATTTAGTCTAGTTGTATGATTCATGGGTGCATGCTTCTTAGCACATTTTTATTAAAAGATCAGCATTGAGATTGATGTTCTGAAAATTGCAGCAAGTTCATCAGCCATTTATGTAACTAAGATTCAAAAAATAGAATTCACACTTTGACACATGCTGACAATTTAATGCCATAGGGGAATCAAAATTTTTAAGTTCATTAATTATCAAAAAGTAGGACCAGTTGTACAGTTCAGACCTGACCTTCGCTTTATCAATCCCTGTACCAGACCTACCTAATGCTTAATTTCAAGAGCTTTTTATTTTTTCCATTTTGCAACTAATGTCAAGTCAACTACAAAACTAAACCGACTTACAACAAAATTTGCAGGTAAAGATTATTTCAGTTCATGTTAATTCCACAGTCCAAATGGTTCAGATCTATAAGCTAAAAATTAATACATTATGAATACTTGCAGTAGTGCAGAGGTAAGCTTGCCTGTTCAGGCTTAATGTATGAGATCTGAAACCTGCTTCAACGTCTAACTCCCAAAGATCCCTAATATAAAATGTCGAACAGATAAGTTCGAGTATCTCAACTATCATAAGCCCTATCAGATATGCTTTTCGCCATCCATTTTCATTATGACAAAGCAGGCAAAACCTAAAAGTGAAGTTAGTACATGGATTTTCGAAATTTGAATTATCATTATGTCTGATCTATAAAAAGATCATCTAGGGGTCAAGGAAGTTAACAGTAACAACTGAAATCATTGGCACCAGCATAGAGCTGCACAAAATAAGCCAAAAGCTCTCAAATTTCACATCAATATAAGGAAGCCATTTTCATTTCACTTTAGTGAAACAAAGAAGAATGAACATCATTGTACCATGTTGTTTTGCACCCAAAATTGCATAACATGAGCTGCACCATTCCATGAAACAACTGATTATAATACAGCATAAGAAAGAAGGTATCCAAAAGAGAAGTGGAAGTAAGAGAACCCAGAAAAAACCCCATGTTTAACTATCAACGTGATACGCCTTAGTGGAGCTTTTATTTTCTTCAGCTGTGACTTAACTAGAACTATGGTTTCAAAACATGTACTATTAATTCAGCTAATGCCAGAGACCTGGCCTCATGTCCAATGAGAGTTCTTAATCACCACAGACAGATCTCATGATTCGGATTCCAGATGACTAGAGGCTGAGTATGTATAGCATAAGATTGTAAATATACAAGTGATAGTAAAAACCAAAGCTGATAGCATCTTTAGGCGTCGAGAGCAATGAGAACCAGAGGAACTGCAGAAGCATATTATTTTAAGCAACCCCTCTATATACCTCACACTATAAATAAGCAAAGTACTGAAGAAAATCTAAGCAAGCAAATGAAGATCATGGTGTGGGAAGAATTAGGATTATTTGAACTCTATATTACAGATAAGCAGTGACATTTGTGATCAAATAACTCACAAGGGGAAAATACAACTGACTAGAACTCAAATAAGACAATGTCAGCGATGGGCATTTGGTCTAGTGGTATGATTTCGCTGGTGCGAGAGGTCCTGAGTTCGATTCTCGGAATGCCCCTTCATTTTGCTAAACTTTTTATTTACTCTAAGTTGATTGAATCTCCAAATGCTCCTTCATCTCTAACTGATTCAACAATTGAGCATGTTCAGATATGGCTAACCAGATATGGGAAACTTCCACACTGTCTACAACTGAACACCTTTATTAGCATTGCTATGTCTCTCCGTAAACATTATTTTAACATTGAAGGAGCCCCTAGACACAGGGAGACCTCATCCCTCCCAGAAACTATCAAGATGGTATAAGCTCAAGACAAGTGAATGTGAAACTTCCAGCATCATTGACGGGGCCAACAAAACAGGGCATTTTGGTCTAGTAGTGTGATTCTTGCTTCGTGCAGGTCCCGAGTTCACCTCGGAATGCCTCTTTCATTTTCTTAGGGCCAAAGTTTTGGAGTACCTCTCCGGATAGATATTGTTAAACATAGTGCGTATTGACAAAGAAAGCTTACTGCTAAAAACAATTCAATAGTTATTTCACTCACGTCTTTAAGGGGGTGCTCAGCTTTGGGAATAGGAACATGAACATACAAACTTCATAATTCACTCTCCTTCTAGTCAACAATCTGGGTTAAGATACCATGACAAATGCACTGTACAGATTGTTCTGAGAGAACCTCAACATCTGAGTGGTCTTGTCAGTTCTCATTCTTGGAATGCCCAGTATTCCGCCCGCCCCCACCCCCAACTAAAGGGGGATGTCAATTACAAAGGATTCACGAAGTAGGAGTATTTGGTGAAACATTCACAGCAGTAAATTGATAATGAAAATTGCAGCAAGTTCATCAGCCATTTATATATGTTCTAAGATTCAAACAATAGAATTCAAACTTGGTCACATGCTGACAATTTAATGCCACAGAGGAATCAATAATTTATTTTTTTGGTCTACTGATTACCATTACTACAATCCAGACCTAACTCTGCCTTTCACAATATCTGTACTCCCTCTTTATATATCTTACACATCCAAATGAGTAGTCCGCAAAGCATCGAGAACATTGAAGCAACCAAATGAAGATCAACTGTGAGATAAGGAATATCTGAAATTCTATATTGCAGATGAGAAATGACATTTATGGATCAAATAACTCACAACAGGAAAACACAACACTAAAGTTCAAAGATGACAATGTCAACAAATGGGTATTTGGTCTATGGTATGATTCTCGCTTGGTGCGAGGTCCCGAGTTCGATTCTCGGAATGCCCTTCATTTTGCAACTTTTTATTTACTTAGGTTGATTTGACCTTTCCAAATGCTCCTTCATCTCTAACTGATTCAACAATTGAGCATGTCCAGATATGGCTACTGGTAACTTTTAATAGCATACTATAACTCTCTATATATAAATATTTAGTCAATGAGATCCCCAAGAATGCTCATCCCTCCAAGAAAATTATTATAAATGATACAAGCTCCAGACAACAAACATGGAACTTCCAACTATTATTTAGACTGAGGGACCAACAAAATGGGCATTTGGTCTAGTGGTATGATTCTCGCTTTGGGTGCGAGAGGTCCCGAGTTCGATTCTCGGAATGCCCCGTCTAATATAATTTTTACCATTTTACTTGTAACTCTGTTCTTCACTCTGTTCTCTAATAGATATATTCCAATTAAGCAAGGCCATAAATGGCTAATGTAGTTCCTTTGGCTAGAGATCTAAGAAAATACACTTCATAGTTCCTTTTCTGTAGTGTCAGATTTATCATACAAACACTACAATTTACCCTCCACCCTGTTAACAATGGAAGCAGATAAATTCAACTAGCACACAACCTGAATTTTTCATCTTAGATGACTTACGGTTAACCTTTATTGCAAGATTGTCTATAACAAACATAAACAGTGGGTATTTACTCTAGTTGTATGATTCATGGGTATAACCTATAGGTCACGTCTAAGCTGAGGTAAGGGTCACTAATACTTGCATTAGGTAGCTTGTCTTATCACACCCTTGAAGTAGTCCTCCCGGATTCTTACAAATGTGCATTTATACTTTGTATTCAGGCTGCCCTTTGCATGATGTATGGGTGCAAGATTCTTAGTATTTTGTTTTAAAAAAATCGCATTGAGATTAATGTTCTGAAAATTGTAGCAAGTTCATCAGCCATTTATGTAACTAAGATTCAAAAAATAGAATCCACACTTCGTCACATGCTGACAATTTAATACCACAGGGGAATCAATATTTTTAAGGTTATTAATTATCAAAAAGCAGGACCATTTGTACATTCCAGATCTTACTTTGCTTTGTCAATCCCTGTACCAAACCTTACCTAATGCTTGACTTCAAGAGCTCTTTATTGTTTCCATTTTGGTAAGCTAATCTCAAGTCAACTATAAAACTCAGCCGACTTTCTTCTTACGACAAAATTTGCAGGTAAAGATTCTTTTCAGTTCATTTAATAGACAAATCAAATGCATGAGTCACTTGAAGCTGAATAAGGTAAATATAGATCTATAACTAAAATTAATACATCATGAGTACTTGGTCAGTGGGCAGAGGTGGGCTTGCCTGTTCAGTTTACCGACAAGCAGATCTGGAACTCCAAGGTTCAACATTTCTAACTTCCAAAAGATCCCTTAAATATAAACGTCGAACAGATAAGTTCAAGTATCTCAACTAACAAGCCTCATTTCAGATATGCTCTTTTCCCATCCATTTTCAATTGACAAAGCAGGCAAAAACTTAAAAGTGAAGTTAGCACATGGATTTGTTGTAAAAATGAAGGATCATTATGTTTGATCTATAACAAGGTCATTTAGGGTCAAGGAAGTTAACAGTAACAACTGAAACTTCTAGAGGTGTTGTACAAAATCAAGCTAAAAGCTCTCAAAATTTCATGTCAGTATAAGGAAGCCATTTTCATTTCACTTTAGTGAAACAAAGAAGCATGAACATCATTGTACTACGTTGTTTTGCAATCTAAAACACACACATGAGCTGCACCATTCCATGAAACAAGTGATAATAATATAGCGTGAGAAAGAAGGTATCTGCAAGAGAACTGAAGTAAGAGAACTCAGAGAAAAGCCCATGTTTAACTATCATCAACGCGATACCACCTTAGTGGAGCTTTATTTTCTTCAGCAGTGACTCAACTCGAACTATGAAGCTCAAACATGTAATATTAATCCAGCTAATGCCAGAAGTCCAGCCCCCATCCACTGACAGTTCTTAATCAGGAGACAGATCTCATGGATTCTGGATTCCAGATGACCAGAAGGTTGAGTATGATGGACTTGAGAGGGTAGAGTGTACATTGTATCTTATCCCTACCTCAAAGGTAGAGAGGTTTGTCTCCACAGACCCTCGGCTCCAGGAAAACAGTCCAAAGCAGTCCAGAAAAAGAAGTAAACAGAAGTCAAGAAACAATAGATAATAACAACAACAACACCTAGTAACAGAGCAAAGACTACACCACAACAATACAATGATCGATGTACAAGGAACAACAGATAGTAACAGGAAATCGAAGACAAGAAACCATAGGAGCAATACTACGACTACTATTGATAACGGAAAGTAAAACAACACACTGCTACCTACTAACATTCTATCCTAATACGTGTCCTCCACACCTTCCTACCTAAGGAGTAAAATGAAAATTATCTGGTGGAAAATAAGGAGTATTTGAATTCTACATTACAGATAAGCAATGACATTTGTGATCAACAACTCACAAGGGGAAAATACATTTGCCTAAGACTCAAATAAGACAATGCCAGCAATGGGCATTTGGTCTAGTGGTATGATTCTCGCTTTGGGTGCGAGAGGTCCCGAGTTCGATTCTCGGAATGCCCCTTGACTTCGCTAAATTTTTAATCTACTCCGAAGTTGATTAACTCCCAAGGGCTATCATCTCTTGCTGATTCTACAGTTGAGTGTCTTTAGATATTACAACCAGATGTGGAAAACTTCCCCACTGTCTGTAACTAAAACACCTTTGATAACATTGTTATGTCTCTCGGTATACATTATTTTAACATTGAGGAACAAATCTCAGACATAGGAGAATTCTCTTCAAGGATCATCTAAACCAGGGGACCAAATGCGCAGAGGGCATTTGGTCCAGTGGTATGATTCTCGCTTTGGGTGCAAAAGGTCCCCAGTTTGATTCTCGGAATGCCCCCTTGGATTTAGCTAAAGCTTTTATTCTCTTAAGTTGATTTTACTCTCCAAATGCTCTTTCATCTCTAACTGACTCTACAGTTGAGTATGTTCAGATATTACAACCAGATATTGAAAACTTCCCCACTGTCTACACACCAAAACAATTTTTAATAAATATTGTTATGTCTCTTGTACACTTTATTTTAACATTGGAGGAGCCCCTAGACACGGGAGAATTCTTATCCCGCCTAGAAAATCATTTCATAGGATGTTATAAACTCCAGTCAACTGAATATGAAACTTCCAGCTATCATTTAGACTGAGGGGAAGCATTTGGCCTAGTGGTATGATTCTCATGAAAGAGAGGTCCCGAGTTCGATTCTCGGAATGCCCCAAATTAGTGCCTTTTTTCAAGCCTGTACTCCCGATAGTTATAAAGGATTTGAAGGCAAATGTATATATCCATTTAATACTTTGTGTTGAACATTCAATAGTGAGATTTCTGTTCCTGGAAACTGAAGTAAGCAAATCAAGCATTTATGAATTTGGTGGGATTCCAATGATTAAAGGTTATTCATCTTAGACAGTAAAAGTTAATTAGTTTAGTAATCCAATTAGTTCTAGAACTGATTCTTCTTTCTAGTGTAGTTTAGTAAGTTCTAGACACATTTATTGCTTGACTTGCAGATCTCTTTTTGGTCTCCTGTTCAGTACACATCTGATGTAAAGTCAACCAAGTAATAACAACACTAGGCCAAGATGTGTCCTGATCAAATAAAGAAAACGGAATGGCAAGACTTGATGCTCTAAAGCTACACCTTTTCAGAACTACAAGATAAAAATAACAAAGCATGAGTGCTGGTAGTATACTGATTTGTGCTCACCTTTCTAGTTTATAGGTAAGCAGATCGGAACTCCAAAGTCAACATAGAACTACCAAGGAATCCTATATACAAAGAGGCAGAGATTAGCACAAGAATTATCTCAGCTATGATAAGGAAAATTTAGAGGTTTGCTTTGCAGTTCTCCCTTCAGAAATAAATCAAATGTCGCTTCCATCAAAGTTCATTGATATTGGACATGCAGATCAACAACGTGAACTGAAATATTTAGCAGAAAGGTGTTATTTTTTTATTTATTTGATAAGATGGTAGCAAAGAGCAAACCAAACAAAGACCTTCTTGGGAAAAGGACCTACTGAATTCCCAACTCAAAGCTGGAGTTAAAATGGATAACGCTAGTAATGAGTCATTTTATTTTAGTTTACTTGAACAAAGGCGCATCATTTTTATAAATACCATACTTAATGATGCTTTGACAATGCCTGCACTAGACCTTACCTAACGTTTTGACTTCAAGAGCACTTTGTTGTTTCCCTTAAGTTAGGTGTTTTGACTGCAAGTCAACTAAGATACTCAGCCAAATGTCCTCATACAACAAATATTTACAGTCCAAAATGCTACCTATCCATGCTAATGGACCAACAAATGGCATGAGTCACATGAAGTTGGATAAGGAAAATCTTGATGTATAAGCTAAAAACCAATACATCATTAATACCTGCAATAGTGCAGAGTTGGGCTTGCATGTTCAGTTTACTGATAAGAAGATCTGAAACTCCAAAGTTCAGAGTCAAACTCCCTAGGATCCCTGAATACAAAATGATGAATGGGTAAGTTCAAGTATTTCAACTGTCATAAGTCATCACTTCAGATTTGCTTTCCATTTTTGCCATCTGTTTCCAATAATTTGACTACAGGCAAAAATTAAAAAGCAAGGTGCCTTGTGACGGCCTTTATATCAGCATCTCATAAAGTTTGGATTATAACGTCATTTAGGGATCAAGGAAGTTTTTCCCTGATGATCAACGGCTCTCTTTCACAAAATTGAGGCAAAAGTTCTCTGAATTTCACGCCAAAAATGAAGAGTTAAATGGGTATCATTAGTTCAGAGCCATTTTCTATTTCAATTTAGTGACTAAATATGCATGAACATCATCTACCATGTTGTTCTATACCAATTTACATAACATTAGCTATGCCATTTCATGAAAACAAGTGAAAAGAATGTATCTTAATAAGGAAGGTAGCTA